AGGCAACAGTTTTCACTCTCAAAACTAAATTTTTACGGCATTAAAACTTCTTCTTTCAACAGCTGGAGACCTCCACTTTTTTTGGTTTGTAATGTTGAATAAATATGAGAAACCTGCAAACAAACTTGACTCACATTCAAAGGGTTCGAACATTTTTAGATCAAAATAAGGGAATACAATATACGAAGCATGTACGATCACAGTATGTATTCATATCTACAAGCAGAAGCATTCACGGACATGAATATAACATAATGTGCAGCACATGTCAGCAGCCTGATCTAAAGTGAAGTGAGTCGAACTTCACTTGTGTCTGTTTAGACTGGGGCAGTTCTGACTGAGAGTAAAAGGTGTGCTTTCAGTCGGAGCGCAGAGCTAAGGTGGGCTTGTCTGAAGCAGTGAAATGTCAGAGGAACTGAAAAGAGTCAGGACGTTCCCTTTGAAGATCCCTTTTAGCCACCTTTGGTGTTTAACTCTCCTTTACTAAGCCCCCCTAACATTTCTTTTCTAGATCTTCTCTGCTTATCAAGTCTGAGTCGGAGCAGAGCAAACTACACCATGTCCTGTTTGTCAAATAGCGAAGCCTTTGTTCCTTAGTCTTTGAGATTAATTGGACTTTGTGGACTCCCGGAGTCAAGATGCTACATTATTGATGCTGTCTCTCTTTTCTCTGTATACAGACGGTATACGAACAAACTGCCTCCCCTCTGACACGAGCACCGAGATACCGTGTGTTTGTGTATGAGCACAACATGTAGTCATTTCTCAGCTCACTCACAGTTTTTTTTTTTTTTTGGAGACTAAGGTACATATGAAAGCCTTGAATTTAATGTGCATGCTAATACAACAGTGTTGCATCTGATTTAACAAAGCTGCAGATCAGATCCAGAATTCTTCAATTTGTTAAAAATCACCCTGCTATTCATTGTTCAAAGCTGGAGAGAAGATCCTCCTGGAAAGAGCTCGAGTTGTGCCGTGTGGTTCACAGACCCATATGTCTTAACAGAAGGAGGGGTGTGGATGCTTAGTGGGAGTCTTGCTGAGCTGTAAATGAAACAAAACTGGAACATGATAATGAGTTGAAAAGCAATCAGCTGATGGTACGAGTATTTCTTCAGTCATCAGTCGGAGCTCGTGTTGATGTTTCAAGACCTGAAATAACAGCTCATATTTTTTAAATCATTATTTTTAGCTGAAACTTGGAGGTGTGCAAAACTAGAGCAGACTTAGTTGACATTTTGCTCATTGATGGTCAAAGACATGAATCAGTGTTAAAAGACTGGGGTGTTGTCACATTTTAAGGGGAACATATCATGTAAAATCCACTTTTTTAGCAGTTAATTGCATTTTTTGTGAACTTGGAGTCTCTAGGAGTGCTGAAAATTTGAATGTGGTCTCTCTCGGTGGTGCTTAGATATCTTTATATTCTGTTTGGGTCATATTTTTCAACACGTTCACTAGGGCTGTGTATTGGCAAGAATTTGGCAACATGATACATATCATGACAGAGGGGTCACGATACGATATATCCCGATATATTGCGATACTATAAGGTATCGCAATTGATATCGCCTATCAAGGCGATATATTGCGATTTTTTTTGTCCAAAAATTCTATTAAATAAAAACCTCTTAC